TGAAGATACCATGGAGTGCTTTGACAACATAGAGTATTATGAATATACACAGGTATTTAATAATTATGAAGCTTTTCATAGGTTTTATTTTCCTTTAGTTGACTATAGACTAAGTAACTAGATATACTATTTTCAAGAATGCGTTTGTTAAACTATCACAAACATAGCATATCATTTTTGGTTTCCCAGGTGAATATTGCCTTTACTCTATTAAATATTTGTCAGAAAAATTGATGGAATTTCTGGTTAAAAATTTTAAAAAAAATAACAAGCTGAAATCTTGGCACTCATGCTTGGTGGACTATTATATTAGTATTTTAATTTATATATTGATAAAAATTTATTGATGACGTCTTGCAATGTGAAAGTATTATCAAAATAAAGTCATATTCTTAAATAATAAGGACTAGGAATCATTCCTAACTGCAATTAAAGTCCTCGATCTGGTTTCTTCAGTTTTCTGTAGCTTGACCAACCACCATGCAGGTAGAGGCTGACACCTCTCTCTACCCTTCTGGTAAGAACCTCTGGATAAAATGCACTTGTATAAAAATAATCCAAAGCAGGTAGGGCCTCTTTCAACCACCAATCTCTGTCAAATGAGATCCTTTCAACAAAAAGTACATCATTTCCAAACCACACTACAAAGTCAACCCAATCAAGTTCGCAAACAAACATCTGACCTTGGACTTGATAATAATATGCATGTCCCTTGTTAAGCCCAGGTTGACTATCATGAATAGTGAGGTAGAATTTATCATCTTGACAGGCTTCATCTACTGTCATTCCTCTTTTAGCATAAGGGCATTTCACCTCCAAACCTCCTTTCTTAGTACTTGCCAATGGGTCATAAACCATTCTATCCAAGCTTGCACCGAAGCCAGGCCTTTGTTTTGATATCATAGTTCCCACTTCCCAAACACACAATCCATTATTCCCAGCCATGCATTTATAAGCAATATAACAGTCAACTGCCTCTTGTTCATGAGTCCTACCATACTCCAATGAAGGAATAGTAGTACTGTCATTTTCAAGGTACATTATCCTCTTAAGTAAGGCATCAGGCTCTTTTACCCTGATTGCTGCACTCTTGAAATTGGATGCTGTAAGTTTGATTCTCTTGAGATTATGCCATTCCTCATTTTCACTTTGTCCCCTTGTCAATGACTCCAAATCGGAAACTTCTTCATCTGTTATTGTCTGAGCACTTACATGTAAGTCAATCATTTCTTTGAACTGTTTACTGTTAATGTCATAAGAGTCATTGAATGGTACAGGCTTTTCCTCACTACTTTCTGCAGAAACCTCAGCACATTCTGGTACTGTTTCACAAATGCTTTCTATTTCCACATCCTTACAGTTTGGCACTACCTTTGATTYAATGTCATGGAAGAGGAAAAAACTACTGCTTGCAAGACAGGTTGACAAGTGTTCTCCTAGTTTAYGCAAGGCTTCAACATTTATGGACCTATCTGAAGGAGCGCGGGGGTCATATGAAGTGATCTTTGGGCTTGAGGGTCTTTTCTTTCCATAGGTTATTTTCTTTAGAAGAATCCTGTCAACTGGTTTTGGGTCCACATGCATATTCCTGGGAACGTTCCAGTTACACAAGCGAGAGGTGCAGGAAATTGGCTGTTTATGCTTACTCAGACCAGAACGTGCGAAGTCTTCAATGGCAAATATGACTCCACCAACATGGTTACATCTTCCCAAGCCATTTTCTCCTCTTCTGTTGATTATAAAAAATGACAAAATTATTTTTTTAAACTATCACTACCTATTTTGTATTTCTCAAGCATAAACAACTTCTACAAACGAGCCTGTATGTAATGATGCTGGTTTTAATGATTAACAAAATTATATATATATATATATGCTATAGGTTTTTCCTGTTGTAATGCAACAGAGCAAGCTGTAGGCTTCACATTAATCCTAACATTTAGTATATTCATCAAAGTTACAWTCTATTCACAGATATATCAAATGTATTGAACTAAAATGTTATAAGTAAGGTTAAATACTTACCCTGCTGGACACTTGCAAGCGGCTTTGACAATATTGCTTGTTCTTCGGTCGAAGACAACAACAGACTTGTATTTTTCTGATTTCATCGAAGCAAGAACCTCTGCTTTCACATAAATCAAGTCTCCTTTAAAACAAAGCTGCAGGTCCTTGATATGCCCTTCCTTAAAAAATTGAAAAGCTTTTAGCTTTTTATAGCCACAACTGGTCAGAGCAGCATTGTTATATTTTGACGTTTTTAGCACCAAATAGTCATACAGCTGCACAAATGTAAACATGGGAAGTTCACGGAGATCTTTCTTCCAAATGCATCCTGTAGCGTCCCTTATTATCTGTTCGTACGTGCAATCAGATTTCAATGGTTGCTGGTTTTCTTTAGAAATAGAAATGTTCAAGTCATCCTTTTTTTGATCTCTTTCGACGATGACATAGCAGCGCAGTGCCAAGTCTTCTTTCTTGCCACTGATCGGTAAATTGTGTCCCCTTAAAATGGCTTTCAAACGATCTATTTTAAGCTTTCTAAAATCTTCAATCGACTTAAACTGCTGAAGAGTGCTTGCATAATCCATAATTACTTATAATAAGGGCTAAAAATTTATATGAAATGGGAAAATAATACAGGAATTCAGCAGATATTCAGACGTTTGCTCGCATATAGCTCTATTTTTACCACAATTGTAAATTTTCTCGCGCGCTGATTGGTTAAAAAACGTCGTAAATAAGAGGCCATACCAACAAATGGCGTCATGCAAGATTTCGTGCACTCTATTTCCTAGAGTTTTGTGAGTTTTGTAGTAAAAAACAAATTTACGATGGTTTAGCGTGGTATGTCCTCTTATTTACCACGATATGACGCCAAATGTTGGTCAAAATTAGTTATGGACCCACTCGGCTTACGCCTCGTGAGTCCATAACATTTTGACCAACTTTTGACGTCATATCGTGGTAAATAAGAAGACATACCACGCTCAACCATCGTAAATTTGTTAAGTTGCTGTGTTGCCTAGCGAAGCTTGCTCAGTCTTAGCCTCGATTTCGCGATTCCGCGCCCGCCAAGGTTTGCTCAGCGGTAATTTAAAAAAGGCGGGCAATACGAAACTGGAGTCCAGATTTGAATATCTCGGGGGTTGACAGCCCTGAAACTTATATGTGTGACTATATGTCATATTAATACACATTCAACAAAGTACTATGGCAGCAGGAAAAGTAAAGGTAAGGCGTCAATAATAGGTTTGTAATGGACGTTCTATACAAGACACAAGGGTTATGTATCTTCATGTATCTTCAATATTAATACCACGGCAAGTTGTGACGTCTCTTGGTCAGTGTTGACACTCGTTCATGATCTTTTGATATATATTCTGGGTGTACTGTTAAGGTAACAACAGTTTTGTGTTTTAGGTAGGAATAATCGGTGGTACTGGCATAGACGATCCTGACATCCTCGAAGGAAGACAAGAGAAGACGATTATCACACCATTCGGATCGGTACGTAAGCCTCGATATATAACTGCACGTGGTTCCACTTTCGATTTCTCTCTGAATACTGTTGAATAGTGTATAGTACGTCACCTAAACAGTTTGACTGAATGCACTCTAGAGTGCTTTTAGTCTCACTGTTGAATAGTTAGATAAATGTATCTAACTTAGATAACTATTTAGTTGACGTCACCTAGAATAGTAAAAGCGCGCCAAATAACGGTCATGCTAATCCGGGGGGTTGTTTTACCAGAGAACGAGTGAGTAGACATTCATTTGTATCATCGTTTCTCCCCCTGATCTCAGTAGCTGTTTACTCATAGTTTCAAATTTAGGTGACGTAACCTAAAATAGTAAATAACTTATCTAATTTAGTTGACGTCATCTATTCAACAGTGAGACTAAAAGCACTCTATAATGATAAACATTTTATATTAATTATATTATTATTGATTATTACGTACTGTCTAATTAAAATTTAAAATTAAATATTTATTTGATACATTCTTTTCCACAATAGACAACTACATATTGGAATAATGAAAAGAAAGAAATAAACTTAAAAAAAAAACTGGTATAAACTAGCTAAACATTTTCTAATAGCTTTATGATAAATGATAGACCTTTCTTAAAATTGTCTTGAATGCAAGGCTAAACATGGAAATACAAAAAAAGGAATGTCACAAATTCCAAAGAGAAAAAGTGTGATCTCTCTTGTATTTCGAATGCTAGCATCACATCCACAATACTTTTAAGAAGGCTCCACTGTTTATGTAATGTGAATATGTTTTCCTATATGCTTATTTTTTAATATTTGTTTCCTAGCCATCTGATAATCTAGTTATTGGCAAGATTAAGGAGATTGATTGTGTTCTTATTGCACGGTAAGTATGACCATGGACATAAGAAGATCCTGGGGAGTGGGGTGGGGGTTTTAATGGTCAGCTAACATTTGAATACATATTCTTGTATCACCAGACATGGTCGTAAGCACACAGTCACGCCAACACACATCAACTACCGTGCAAATATCTATGCCCTGGAGCAAGAGGGTTGTACTCATGTCGTTGTTACAACAGCATGTGGCTCACTTAAAGAAGATTATAGACCAGGTGATATTGTGTTTCCTGATCAGTTTATAGACAGGACAAACCAGAGAGAATCAACATTCTATGACGGCAAGGAGGGTAGTCATGTTGGAGTATGTCACATACCAATGCATGAACCATACTGTCCAGAACTTAGAAAGGTATAGATGAACGGTGTTAAACACACATAACTCTCATATTAAAGCATAGAATATAGATAGTTATGTAGAATGCTCTTGAGTGGCAGACCATGGAATATCCCACGAGGCACTTGTATTTTTTAGTATGTTTCGTAGTATACACAAGTAGGATATTTCATGGTGTGTCATGAGAAAGCATTCTATAACTATTTGATGCCACACTTAGGCTGCAATGCCTGTTGGAAAAGAATGGTGAAAAGCTGCAGAATATACAACAGCATTCTTGCATTCTGATTGGCTGTTTGTTCAATGGTGTAGAATAAAACACAGATAGCATAACATTCTAATGAACAAACCCCAATTCAAAAACCAACCCTTACCTATTCTAATGGAATCTAGTTTAATGACTATTGGTTGAGTTGCCTGTGGTCTATTCAACAGGTAGCCCAAGATTTGCCCAATAGAGGCTTTGCACCATCACATGATGGCAGCCATGACAGGAGGCMCAKMASARTYWTTTTTCCCCAGGAAGCTGAATTCTTTCTCATGTAAATAAGATTAGACCAGATTCAATTGTCCCTGCCTCCTGTTATGGCTGCCATCACATGATGGTGCAAATTAGCCTTTCTAGGCTCATTAATGCCAGTAATGTCATGTTTCCAATTTAGTATCACATGTCATTTCCTTGATTATTATTACCTTCATTACTAATACATTTTATACCTTAAAGATAATCCTAAAGACACAACACATGGTCAGAAATGGGGAATACTACATTACAGCTAAAGTTATCCTATTGTTACAAGATATAGAAATATAGATAAGTTAAAGTGCTTGGGAACAAGGTTATTCCGGGCAAACTGGGCGAAAGACCCTTGGAAACAAATTCAGAAATTAATTTTTCTGAATTTGTTTCCAAGGGTCTTTTGCCCAGAATAACCTCGTTCCCAAGCACTATAACTTATCTATATTTATATATCTTGTATTTCATAAGTGTTACGCGGTCCACATATTCTCATCTTTTTATCCTATTGTTATTTGATTGACAGATTTTGATTGACGTGGCACGTGACCTCGGGTTGACTCACCATGAGAAGGGTGTGAACGTGGTCATTGAAGGTCCTCGTTTCTCGTCCAAAGCTGAAAGTAAAATGTTCCGTATATGGGGTGGTGACATCATCAACATGACAGCCATGCCGGAAGTAGCTCTTGCCAACGAGAAAGGACTTTGTTATGCTGCTATTGCTATGGTAACAGATTACGATTCTTGGCACGATGACCATGAACCTGTAAGTTGTTACTATTAGACATTCAACCAATCACAGAACGTAAAATTGTTGATTGGCCAATTAGAAAGACGTGACACGTTACGTCATGATCACGCTGTAGAGTTTCCATGTTTTAGATTTAGCATCACGCTTGTAATGTCTGTTCATGGTTGAAGTCAGTCGGTGCTGACTGGGCGTACCGCGACAGCACGGCAGTGTCCAAGCATTTCATTGGATGAGCAGTTACCTCACGCGCTGATTGATCCAACGGAGAATGTCGACTCCGAACTGTGAACCAGTCATGAATGTTACTATTCTCACGGAAATAGACCTCTTTACCTTCGGCGTAATAGCTATTTTAGGCTGCGTGTCATTTCCTAGAGTATCATTTCTTTGTTTTATGGTGCTACAAAGAATCTCATTTTCAACAGAATGACTCGTGGTCTGACATATTTCTTTAAAAATGAGTTTTTTCGCGTGCTCTTATTGGTCCAAATACCGACGTTCAAGTCATTTTTTCCGCCTTCGCTTTAGTTGAAAAGGAGATTACGCGTCGTAGTTTTGTGCGCTTTTCTCATGTTATCTCAGCATCCCGCGCGTTAAGATCAGAGTATCTAAAACGGAAAACTCTTTAATGTTTCTTAATTGTTTGGTTTTTAGGTAAGTGTCGAGGCCGTGTTAAAAACCTTCAAGAGCAACGTGTCTAATGCCATCAAGATAATCCTGGAATGTATTCCAAGGATTGCGCAGAAAGATTGGACACACTTGTTGAAGAAGAAAGCGGTAATATAGACATTTTACACTCCTTTTTGTCCCCTATAACCTCTGTGGTAACCCTGTAGCATGGGTAACATGGGTGGCGTACACGCTGCTAACGCGTCGTCTTTCATTGGTGAGTCCAACGGTCGGGTCTCTTGTGCGAGCCCTGCGGTCGTCACACGTGAATTGAGTTTGTTTGATGTGTTGTTCTCTCCTATGCTACGAGGGTTTTCTCCGGGTTCTCCGGTTTCCTCCCTCCGTAAAAATCAACATGTGAGTTGAGCGTTGCGTGCATAGACAATGAATGTAGTGGTAGTGGTGTGAGCGAAAAGTGTCCCCAATTAGTGCGAAAGCGCTAGAACGACTAGACACTTAAATAAAGTGATTTATTTATTTATTCTATTTTGTGGTAATTGAATCCAATCCTCACTCCAATCCTCACACTCGCCACCAAATGAGTAGAGTTTCTTGTTGGTTCTCTACTATGTTTCAAGTGTTTTTCTCCGCTTCCCGGGTTTTTCTCCCTCAAGAACCAACACGCTAAATTCTAATTTGATCTCTGAGTAGAGCTGTTTATTGGTTTTCTCCTGTTTTTAGAGGGTTTTTCTCCGGGTTCCCGTCTTTTCTTCCACACGCGTACCTATACGAGCCCATTCTTCAATATCCGATCATGTGAAGCATTAAATCCATTTTTCTTTCAGGATGACGTCAAGAGTTCCACGATGCTGCCGAAGGCCTAGAGTACGTTAGTGTTCATCTGTTCATTCGTATTCAAAGAGAAAAATAACGAATCGTTTGCATTCCTTCTAATATTTTGATTAATTTTTAATACTTATTTTAAATACACTTTTGATGTTTTAAAAAATGTATATTTTAATCAAAAACAATGTTTTTTTTGTTAAAATTATCTGATCAAATAAAGAAAACGGTATCAAGCCAAGTAAGATTTGTTTGTCATTTTCTAACCAATCATATTCACCGCGTGTCATTTTGGCGGGAACTGGTCACGTGATGCTGCCTATTACCGAGTAGATCTGGAGTTGGAACAGTAAAAAGAAAAAAAAGTAACTGTTACTGGTTTGTGCGCATACAATGATGCACCGTATAAAAAAATGTCACGTTGCTGATTCTCATTCTAAGTGACTTCAATTACGGTCCTAGTGGTGAACCTTGGGGAAATCCAAGGTTGCCGATTGTATTTCTCATTCCCAGTGACTTCACTATTACGGTCCTAGTGATGAGCCATGGAGAAACCCCAAGGTTGCCGATTCTATTTCTCATTCCCAGTGACTTCAATTATGGTCCTAGTAATGAACCTTGAGGAAATCCCATGTTGGTGATTCTGTTTCATATTTCAATAACCAAAGTCCCATTACGTAGGTTAGGAATTCCTGCGCAGAAAGTGTTAGCCAATCGCAATCCCCATTTCACTCCTTCAAATTCCCTACCTTCACGAAAATGTAATACTCCTAACGACAGATAACCTTGGAAATGATAATATGCAGTCCAACGAATACGGTATAAATGTTTCCAAGATTTTTTGCTTTATTGTTTTTGTGCACAACAGTTCTAACAAATACTTCAAGCAAGAGCATCTTTACAGACAAGTAACTGTAATGAACCCTTGAACTCATTGCTGAGCAGACGACAATAGGTCCTAATAGTTATTAATCAACTATCAATAATTTATAGATGGTTTCAAGGGTTGATTACAGTTACTATCATATGTAACATCTAACATGCATATATGGAAATATTGCGGACTGGCTCTTGTTTCCTTACCAGTCCCTTGTTCTATTTCAAATAGAGAGGGACCTGGAAACAAGTCTTATAAAATCTATAAACATTGCAGAAATGTTATTCATGTTTCAGCGATCAGCGGTAATTTATGGCGAAGCAACTCAAAGTGCACCATGGGAAATTTGATCTAATTATCCAATTAAGATAAGAGAAAAATTTTTGATTGAGTGGAAATATAACGCAACCTTGACACTTAAATGGCTTTCACAGCGAACCAATGAAATGAGAGCATACCGAAAACCGCCCAATCAGAATCCTTCAAAGTAATATCCCGAGTTTTTGCACTCAATCGAAATCTTTATCTATCTTTAATCAACTACATATATCTTTACTATTATTAATAAGTCAATGCCTAATAATATATCAGGAAAAAACAAGAAACGAATATTGCAACGGCAGCAAAACCCACCAACGTAAAGCGCATTGAGACAATGTGAAAATGCGCTATATAAGAACCCCATTATTTTTATTAAAATACCCTAACATAACATGTCTACAGCTATCAAACTCCAAATATGGAATCAAGCACATCATTTCAAATGTTTGTCGTGTCATGTGACACTAAGTGACGTATCTTATATATTAGGTCTCGACTTTGAGTCTTTTGTTATTCTAATCTTATTACTTTCTAAAATATTTCTTTGGCTAGAACAATAGGTCAGGGGACGTTGCCCCTTACCATCACTCTACATCCTCTTTGCTCGGATTTCATTGAGTAACTTGAAAGACTTCCTTGTAATCAATCCACAGGGTTAACTTAAAATTCCAGATTTCCTGATTCGTGGAACTCGACTCCGGATTCCATTATTTTGGATTTTTCGTTTGCACATGACGTCATAGCCGCCATCTTGGATGAATTTAACGAAATAATTTGTCAATGAATTCTTTTGCCCTATCATCCAACATGGCCACCGTGTCTTTTGTTATTTCACTCCTTCTGGGAATGATTGAAAACCAGCAATAGGACGTTTGCATGATGGCGTCATTTGACTCCCACTACCATAATGCTTCGCGAATTTTCTTTCTTATTCAAATTTGTATTTCCCTATGAGAATAGTAAGACAATTGGTGCTAATTAACTGAATAAAAGAAAGTCTGCAAGGAGTCTGGTAGTAGAGTCCAGTGACGCCATCATGCAAACGTCCTATTTGAGATTCCAAGAACAAAGACTCCTTGGATTCCAAAATTCCGGATTTCCTTGCATTGGAACGGCGGCCATGATTGTTTCCTATCCTTTCTTATTCCACGGAGCAAAGCTAAATTTACAAGGGCTTCAGTTCAAGTTACTCCATGAACTCCGAGTTCTTATACTAGTTTTTATTCAGTTGTTCAAATATATTCGACTCAACTGACAGTGGACTATTTCTGGACTTTTAAAACTTTGTTCATTCATTTTGAAAATACTTTAATAAAGTCACACTATATCACATATACTCTATTAAATACTTTGTATATATGTATATATATATATATATTAGTACATATCTCAGGCAGTATTTCTGATTTTCTAAATCACTCTTCTAATTCTTTAAATTTCATTATAATTTAGTTGCCATGGTTACAAGAAATCGACTTGCCCACCCCCCTTCAGTGAGCCATTCACCAAGCATGGCTGTTGGTAATTTGTAGATATTAAATTCAGTGGGTGGGCTTTTCGTTTGTCAACTTGTAAAATCTTTAAATACGTTTTTCCTAGAGTTGGTTTTGTCCTAAAGTTTTTTGAAATTTGTTCCGAATGTTAAAGGCAAAAATCTTGATTTTTTTTTTACAAGAGGACCAGAAGATTCGACGCGTTACTCGTAGCAATATTCATTCCACAGATACGCCACTTTTACACTATTATACTAAACTACGTTATACTATTGATTTTATCGACACTGTACCGACAATGAACCGACATAAGATCGATTCACCAATAGCATCAATATGGTATTGTTTTACCGAATGCCCGATACTGTATCGATTAACTTCATGCTATATATTTATGGCACCGATTTAATATCGATTATTCTTTGAGATAACGAAAGCTGACGCAGAATTGATTCAACTGCAACTGCCTTAAACTTGATTTAAAAAATGGCAAACATTAGAAAAAAACTACTAAATCCTAAATTAAGATGGGATAATATGAAGTGAAGCAGTCTTGCTTCAAAACAGGGGGAAATTCGATTCGACTGAGTAAATAGGGAAATGAGGGAGTGTTAACAGACTAAGAGATAATGGAGAGTCTTTAAAAATAATTTACACATTTTTGTACAAACAATTTATCAATTTACGTAACGCCAAATATGTGGCTTGTGGTTAAGAATCAAAAGAAACAAGAAGAGAAAGGAAATGGAATGAGAAACTTCATTTTCAGAACCATTTTCATAATATTTGCAAAACTTGCCAAATGTAAACTCCCTCGTGATGCCACAAACATGTCTAAGTTAGAAAAACAAGGTGCATGCTGGTCTCGCTTGTGTTCAAGCAGCACCATATAAGGCATGCCTCATTAATAGAAGAGTATTTATCTAGCACTAGAAAATGCTACCTTGCTCTTGCATCATTAAAGTTTACTCAAGCACTTTCTTGACAAACATGGCTAATTCCTGCGGCTATAGCGTGCTATTTCTTTGACCATCTCAAGATACAAACGCAAAACACAGACGGACTGGCTATGGTACAGCTAGGTAATGATCTTATACCCTGGAGAGGCACGATATCAGTAGCCATCTAAATTGGCGCATTAGCCTCTTACACAATCTTATTACTAGATGACTTTAGTGTCAGCTTGCGATACAAACGAGCTGTCTATAGCAGTTGTATGTCAAAGTGGAATAAACTACGGGATGGAGAGAGGGCTTTTACAGAAGCATTAGTAAATGAACTAGCAAACAAACAAAGAAAACAAGAAAACAAATATAGAAAGGAATGAACAACCAAACAACGGCCAGATGAACTACGAGCAAATAAACTATAAAAACAGCTTTCTTATGCTTTAAAAGAGCGGTATTACAAAGACTTAGGTTAAAATACATCGAAAAGTACTTTTTTGTACCGCTTGTTGATCGCAAATGGCCTATGTTAAAGCCCCCTATTAACACACTAGGATTAGGGCACCATTGTGCTTGATTACTGCACTACCTACTTCAATTAAGCTCATTTTGTGAACCATTATCTTCACAGCCTAGCCATATTGTCTCGCTTCGTTCTTCATTTACTACCATCTTAAAGAATCTTCGCCCGAGGACTTCACGTTTTGAACAACTTCTGCTTCAAAACTTCAAAATCCTTCTCATATCTAGTTTCGGTTCTCGTCATTAATTTTCCCACCTCATTTCTGTGTTCATTATCAAATCCATGTAGACTAAAAGTCCGTTTGGTAAGATTTCAAGAACCTCGCCAAAAATACAAACACCTTACTGTGTAATTGATCCTCGGGCAGATCCATGCACGAAACCCAGTTTCATGAGCGAAGTATCTTTCAATCTTCGGTTGTTTTTTTTGGGTTTGTTTTATGTAGTGACTTGAAAAACTAGGAAAGAGAGAAAGCAGAATGGTTAAAGGGGAAACTATAATAAAAAGGAAATAACAACAGCAGTGACACAACAGCAGCAGCTGTGTGCAGCAACAAGAGGCAAAACGAACAGCAATTTTGTAACCAAAATAGCAGCAGAAGTAGTAATAATAATATCAGTACTTTGAGAAATACAAGTAACCTAGTTAGTACGAGCCAATAGGCAAAACAAAACAGCACCATAAATTAAAATAAAAACTATAAAACAATCAAAACACAAGGTCAATATTGAAACGACTTGTGCTAACAGGACTGTTCTGCGTGTTTTATTTTGAACTTGAAAAGCTACAGAATCAACTTATTTAGTTAATATAATAATAGAATAGAGCTCAAAGCACAACAGCACAAATAGCTTTCACTCAACAAACAAAACAGACAGCAATTAAACACGGGAATGGCAGCCATTAACGATTGTTTTACGATTTAAAATATCATGTTTTTCCTATCTTTACGCATCGTAATGGCTTTTCCTTCTCGTTTCCATCAAGGTATCAAAAACAACAAACTATTTCTAAT